AAATATAATGCAATTAACAACTTTATAATGTCCTGTTTTTGTTACCTTTCCTGTTTCTCAAGTGATATATAGAATTACCTCTATATAAAAATAGTTAATATGAAGTTAATTTATATCAGATCTACCATGGAACCCAAAAATTATAGTATATCAGAAGTATTTTGAAGAAAGAACAAAGTGAAAAAATTGCCCCTTATATTTTCAAAATAAATTATACCTGAACACTAGAAACTTATCTAAGAAAAGAAAGGATTACCTATGAGATTTACCAAGAAGAAAAAAAAATAATAAACATTAAGAAAAGAAAGCAGGATGAGGATGTGTCATTACAAAACAAAAGAGTGAAGTTTCTGAACAAAAAAATTTAATACAAAACAACAAACTTACTATCTACTTTTATCTTTCTATATAATGATAAGTTTTATAAACCAATACTAATATTTTGCTCCAACTATAATTTAAGAAGCCTTCATAGTTACTGAGCACTAATGCTTTTTTTTTTGTTAAATCTTACTATATTTATAAATAACCATTATTCTAATAAAAATTTTTAATAATTTTACATTAATTTTTTTATCAATTATACTAATAATTATTATTATGGGATAAAATACACAATTCTTGCTGGATTGCAATTCTTCCTTTATTATTATAGTAAGAACTGGCAAACTATGCCTCACATCACAAACTATATGCCTCATGTCCATAAATTATGCTTCGAGTCACGAGTTATGTCTCGCATTCACGAATTATTGCTTCAGATGATTATTACTTGATAATATTATATGTCAAAATTTTCTTTATTTACCATTCAACAAAAATTTTATTAATTATAATTTGTTGTGCTAATTATTAATAAATAAAAAGAAAAAACATATGTTAAATTAATAAAAGCGTTGGACAGGTTAAAGTAAGATCAAATTCTCAAGAATAATTTTTTATTGGCTATCGATTTGTTTTTTTTTTAAGTCTTCACGTTTTAAGTAAAATAATAGATGTATAGGTTAATGTTGCGGGTATAGTTGTTAGCATCACGATTTCGGAGCTTTCACTATGAAGAGGGTTTGTTTCTATCACGTGTATCACTTAAAATATTTAATATGATATATGTTACATAAAATATTTAATATGATATTATTTTGGAAAAACATACAGTATTATTGCTAGTAATTAATAATTATCATCATTTTTGCCGTAGCTTTATTATCTGTTATCGATTATATTACGACAAGTTACGGCAATTCGCCTGCACCTCTACTAGTAATACACGTATTATAAAATATTTAGTTCATAACTATGAGATAACTTAAGTTCATTCATAATAAGAATCCTCAGCTAAGTCCGGGTAAAAGTAGCCGAACTATTTCAGTTATTACGTTCAAATCCTTAATGCGCAAATTTAAATCATGAACACTTATAACCTTATTATCTGCTGGTAATATAATTTTATCAGTATCACTTCGATTTTTTTGAGAATATGTGACAAGAGATTCTGACACGCGATTTGTCGCTTGTCCCATTCTTGTAGTTATTATATCAAATCCGATTATTCTCCACTGTTTACATGTAGCAGCAACAGTTTTAATAATTTATATTTTTTCCACTAAAAATATATTGCCATGATTTAATAGAT